CCCCCGCGGCTCCGGCGACGACCCCCGCGGCTCGGACGACGACCCCCGCGGCTCCGACGACGACCCCCGCGCTACCTGCACGGAGATGGAGCCGAATGGTGCGTCGATGGGGAGATTTCGCGGGATGTCAAGAGCCACGCTTGCCAGGCCGATATCCTCAACCGCCATCTAGCCAACTGCGGCGTTCAATGAAAACGGCCTGGCTGGTTGAGAGACGAAGAAGGGAGCCGCACGCCCGCATGCCTTACTACCAGAAGGCCGCCCCAATAAAAGAGCGGATTCTGGGTCTACCCTGCCTGCGAACAGTCGACAGCTAGACGGAAGGCTGACCGGCCTCAGGGCATTCAACAGTTTTATAATAAGGCGCGGATTCAACAGTGTAATGATAACAGGGGGGATTTATCTACGTGATGATTGTATGTTTGCGGGGATATAATTCTGTCAGTTTCATTGTCGCGGATCTAGAATTAGTAATTTTGGAGCGCGGCTAATTTAAATTTGCAATTTCACTTTCTGTGTGAATTTATGATACAAGTGTATACACTCGGCGTGGTGACGCAATCAGGCTGCCCCGCTAGTTATTGGTAGTCGAAGCGCCGGAAGCGGCTTCCGTGCTAGAGGGAAGGGGCGATGTTTAGCGCGCAGCCCTGATTTGTGCACGCTCAGCCTGGGTCATGAAGGCCGAGATAGTGCCACGCGGCGCGAGATAGCTGCTGCGCCGGGGGGTGCGTGGTCCGCGCCGGCGGCCGAGATAACTGCGCGCCGCGCGCGTGCGTTGGTGCGCGCCCGCGCGGCCGCAGATAGTGCGCGCCGGCGACGAGATTAAGTGTGCGCCGGGGCGCGTGCGTTTGTGCGCAGCCGGCGGCTAGCACTTTAAGTGCCGCTTGCCCGGCGACGAGATTAGTGCGCTCGCGGGGGGGCGTGGTGCGCCGCCGGCGGCCAGAGATAGTGCGCGCCGCGCGACGAGATGTGTTGCGCCCGGGGGTGCGTGTTATCCCGTCGCGCCGGCTGCGCTAGATAGTGCGCGCCGGCGACCGAGATAGTGTGCGCCGGGGCCGGTGCGTGCCCCGTGCGCCGCCGCGCGCTAGATAGTGCGCGCCGGCCCCGACGGATAGTGTGCGCCGGAGCGGTGCGTGCTCGTCTCCCGTGCGCCGCGGCGGCTAGATAGTGCGCCCGCGCCGGCGACGAGATAGGTGTGCGCCGGGGCGTGCCGGGTGCGCGCGGCAGCCTAGATAGTGTGCGCCGGCCCCGGCCGAAGATGGTGTGCGCCGCGCTGGTGAGATAGTGTGCGCCGGGGAGGGCGGCGTAGTACGCAGGCGCGCGGTAAACGCTGAACACACCGCGAGCGCGCGGCTGGCTGGCACGCGCCGGCCTGCGTGCGCGCGGTTACGTGGCGGGTCGCGAGGGCGACGGCCGGGGGCGCGGCGCCTCCCGCGTTAGGCGGCACGGCCGGAGAAGCCGTACCGGCTCGGAAGGACTCGCGTGCATCAGCCCCCATGGGATTTATTTTCACGCTGCATCGGCTTAGCAGCCCTGCAAAGCGTCACGCCAATGACAAAGCCTCTGGTTTTAGCAACAAAGCGCGCAACAAATGTATTACTTTGTCAGCGCGGGCTTAGTAGTAGTGTTTACACAGGCGCCCATTGTATTCTCGCGATCTAGTGACGTCGCGATTGTGTCATTGCACGCTGCATGCAGGTATTGTGGCGCGAAGCTCTGTGATTGGCCTAGAAATGCTTGCTGTCTTCAATCCGCGATGCTGCCAAGGCCATTGCGCGTGCCGTGTGTGTACTTTGGCGTGGAAGAAGCTTCTGTCGTTAGCTAGGGCATGTGCGTCTTCAACCCGCGCATGTACAAACCACGGTGCCGCTGTCCCAGCGGTGGGCTATTTTGGCGCCGAAGCTCTGTGATGGCCTAGAGATGTGCATCTTCAAATCCGCGGTGCGCGAAGCCAGTAACTAACGCGAACATGCTACTTCACGCGCGAGGATTCTCATTGCCGTTAATGAGAAGTGTATTTGAATCCGCGGGGGGCTATATAAGGAGTACTTTACGCGCACAAGAGGGAGAGAAAAATAGGGAGAGTTAATTTAAGTAGTAAGAGTTAGTTATGTTTGAGCATATTGAAAGAGTAGGATAGTTAGCTAGTACGTAACAGTTTTACCGCGGGGGAAAGGAGTGGGGAATTAGATCGGATTTCAACCAAGCGGCGGCCTATAACTTACTACTGTGTGTCACCTCCGCGAATCGCGCAACATGCTTTTTGTATGAATAAACGGCTTCTTTAAGCCATTAAAACGTATTCCCGGCTTGTGTAGGTAAGTCTACTGTCGAATGCTACATCCACGCACACGCACGCACTCGCAGGACCTGCCTGATAGAGCCGGCGATAAACCGCGGTATAGGTGAAGGAAACACAACGCAACAAGGCTACTTATATGATTCACGAAAACGTCGAGAAGAAGCGACCCCGGAAGAAACGCCAAACATTGGTGCCCGCTGAACACGGAGGATCACAAACACCGACACACAAAACCCAAAAACACGCCACAATTACTAAGCAATATACATACTAAACAACTGCGACAACCCTTACTTCCTTCAGATGCTGAAGACCATGACGCAGACGCCTCAATAAATTATATCGATGAATTTACATGCCAGCGTCATGGAGCGAGCAGCGGCGATGCGCCATAACCACCATCATGACTCGGCGTGCTTGCTGGACCGGTAGTGCGTTGGCTGACTATAGGAATCCAATTGGTATATTGGGCTCTATTGCGATGCCTACTGAAGTAGTGAACACAATACTTCTCGCTAGCAGAGGCGCTGCTGTTAGCAAGGTGGCGAAATGAGCGCATAATTGCTATCGCTGCAAGTAAGTCAAAGTATCCCAGATTGTACCTGCCGAGAGATTTATGGGATACCCTATCCAAACACGACGGCGGGACCGACAGGAGTATCAGAGACTTAACACTTGTGAACAAACCAAGTAACCTAGAAATGGTATAGCAGACACTCGAGAATAAATACAATACTCGAGCAATATGAGCATACACGTTGCCGCCAACTGGATCGCGACAACTACGAGACACCTAAAGACCATCAAAAATAAACAGTTTCTGAAAAAATTCGTAAGGCAGCTAATGTCGAAGGAAAATAAGCGAGGAGATGCGTAAATTTTACAGCCCAGAACAATTCCAGGAGGGCCGCTGGAAAACGATTACAAGTGAATACAAACGTGTTAAAGACCCAGAAAAGAAATCGAGCAACTTGGCGATACTATATCCCGATTTACGCACGTTTGAAAATGAAACGGGATAGCAAGATTTATTGGGCAATCTAGCGAGTATTAATCCTATTACATTATACGTCTATGGACGAAGATATCTCTGTTATGAAGAATCTGACGAATTAGACGACACTGACCGGACTGAATCTCTAATTAAATTTTGTATTATTTTAAAAGCTTCAAGGTTATAATCCTAGCTTAAGAGAATATAGGGTTTAAGATGCATGTGACGCATGACACACTGTGTATATTATCTCACGAAATGGCATCGCATATCAGCTGATATTGGTATTGACACTGTTCCGCAAAGCCTGTAATTGTCTAAGTTCCTATAGTGCGGTTTCACTGTATCAAAAAAACGAACAATTTTTGTTAAGAATTTAAGCATTTATTTTTATATGAATATAAAAATAAGAAATATAGAATAAAAAATAAGAAAATAAATTTTCCGTTTTCTACATTTTATTAGTAGTTCAAACTACATTATACAGTAATATTATTCTTTCCCAACAATCTGTTGCCTCAGGATATTCCCTTTTTTGAACACAACCATCTATCATTTCCCATGACTACATTATTTCCAAATTAGCATTTAACCATTCGTTCTTTTCAATATTAATGTCTTCAAGCCATTATTAACGCATTTATTAACACATTATTAAACGCATGATTATGCAACGCATGTGTCATGGCCATACAATCACGTCTCAGCTGCAGCATGTCGAGCAGGCGTTGCCATTATCGTTTCGGGATGCTATACCTTTCCACAGTTTAAAAGCAGACCACTCAAAAAAAAGAGATAGAAGAATTCGGAGACATGTCGAGCCATCTAGTTCAATCCCAACAAAACTGGCAGCCTTTCTCAGCAGTAGACCGAGAACAAGGAGGAGCTATTTCCCTTCTGACAAGCTGCTAATAGCTGGGCCAGGCGACAGGGACAAACAGATAATTAGCCACCTATCATAAAGAATGTGCGTTTGCCTACAAAGCAAGAGCAGGTTGCTGGCTCTTGCCTCCATGCACGCCACGAGGAAGCAGAACACGGATTCCGACCAAGCGTTACTTCATGCTTAGAAATACCTTGAAGCCAGCCGTACACCAACGCGTAGTTGATCCCTGTACCCTCACACACACCTTGGTGCGTTTGGTGTAGAGCCGGTTTTTTGCACTTCCCCTTGGTTTCCGGGGCGAAGTCAGTCTAAATCCATGATGTGGTGGGGAGCGTCCGCTGAGTAATATCCCCTGCGTCTTCGCAGCAACACGACAAGAAGAGAAGAAGAATCTACAGAAGACTCGCCAGTCATGCCAGCCCGCGCAAGGTTATAGCCGGGCCAACAAATGACACCCCGATAATATAGGCGCTGCCCAACATCTCAAGTCCGGATCAATATCAACCCCCAAAACGCACCCCAGGTTACGATACCAAGAAAGTGAGCCTATGTTCCGCAAACTGCGAAACCTGAAGGATAACCCTTCAAAGGTACGGACCCCTGTCTGTGCTCATTTACACGCGACAACCACACGCAGCCGGATT